TTCGATTTAATTCCTGCACTTTGAAGGTTCAACATTAACTTCATTATTTTCCAAATAAAACCAGTGTGACTGTAGATAACGACTAACGCATCCCAAGTTAACACCTCCAGGCGTCTCGTTTTCATTATGTCTTACCTTCTTTAAAGAGGTCTCGTCTGTTTTGGGTTCCACTTGGAGAAACCCATATTGTAATTCCTCGGTTTCTACAGGACATTTTTTTAAATGGAAATCACAAGCGGTTACAACACTATACGTTTTATCGGAAACTAACATGAACAAAACTGACTCAACTTAGAGAGGTTAAAACTTTGAATTAAAACTGCTTATGATGCGTTTCAAAGATAGTTTAAAATGGTGGTAGATTTAAAAAATTTTCTAGTAACAGAGCCTGATTCATCTCTATTCGGCCTTTCCTGACGACCACCCTTTTATAATATGACTTAATTTTTTAACAGTCGAAATTTTTTGACTTTGGTATTAAAAATGTATTTTTTCCATCGAATTTATCTAATTTTCCCACAGCTGTCGCAAGAAAATATTACCAAACTAGCCAATGTCGGTGTTTCTAAAGAAGCCAAAGCGATCACGGGTACCATGACGGGAACTCCTTTGTATCTCGCTCCTGAAGTGATCAAGTTCCATTTGTACGATTACAAAGCAGACATCTACAGCTTCGGCATAATGCTCTGGGAGATGTGGTATGGTAGCAGACTTCTTCTTGATGTGGAAGGAAATGTGCCTGAGTATTTTGAAAAAGTGGTTGAGGGTGTAAGACCTATGCATGTCCGAGGCTCAAAAAAGCCTCCACCTGGTTTGTACGATCTGATGCAGCGTTGCTGGGACGAAAAACCCGATAATCGACCAGATGCGAGCGAATGTTATGCGAAGTTGTTTCAGCTCCATCGGGAATCTGCCGCGCCATCTTCGTAAACACTGGTTATTAGGCAACCACCTTGAACGTGTTTACTTTTCAAGTGTAAACTGTTTTGGAGCAACAGTGATTTAGAGTGTTTTAAGATATCCCTTATGACTGTTGCAGCAAATAGATTGACCTAACCCGCGCCAATTTTTCTCGTTTCAAACTTAGTTGGTACATTATAGAAACCTATTTTAGTCTTAGTCAGTGCTGATACTAAGGACTTCTATCGAGACC